ACGACCTAGTACTTCATAGCTGATCGTGAAGTTGATGACAAAGATGATGTTCATACCGTATATCTTGATGATCTCATGTAAATAGATTATGAATTGCATGGTTTTGTCAAACCCATCAAAAAGTTTATTTTTCTAAGAATTCATTTCTGTTTGATGGGAATCGAATGTTGTATTTTGTCTTAAACTGTGGTACCTCAGCTACGCTATCGCTGTGACGTTTTCCTCATGTCGGACTTGAGAAACTAATAAAATTTTAAAATCTGCATTGAAAAATCGAAAAAAACTCACATACAAAACCACTTCAGTAGTTATCTCAAGTCTGTAAATACTATTCCTCAAATGCAGTCTGTTCTTAATTAAATTGCAGAGATTCACCAATGAGGCTTTCGATAGCTCCCTCATCAGTGTTAGAAAAAAATAATGATATCGGCGACTTGAATCTCAGGTAAAGCAGCAATACCTGTTCATAGAAATCTAAAGTGGAGCTGTGAATTTCTGTGTGTTATTTGCGCTGTATGGATAAAGCACAGAAATAATACAGAAATCAGACAGATAACCTTATCCATTGCAACGTCCGTATGGGAGTTCTGCAAAAAAGTCCGAAAAAGTGTGGCACTGTAGCAGCACTACACAAAATTTTTGCTTTGAAATTTTTATAAATCCAATAAATGAATGAAATTTACCCTACAGCACGCTGAGCGCTGATTATGCATTGAATACTCTGTCAAAGAGTATAAATAGTGATGTGTTGTCTTGGACAAGCATTAATTCTTTTTTACTGTTGACAAGCGGTGGATGTTTTTAAGGTGCTTCAGTCGCTCATTTCATAACTCAAAAAAAAGCGGCACATGACGAGAGCGATTTCTGGCAGCAATTTTTTAGCTTGGGAAACTACTTCCAATCTGAAAGCCAATGCTGGAAAATCGTTTCTCTGTTTATTTCACTGATACTTCTGCGAAACCAAATAAGAATGGCTGTTAAGTACAGGCTTTTTTCATAGATAGAACGGCTAATTTTGACAAAAATCTCTGACGTTAAAAATTCGTTGGATTTTGCATTATAGGTTAACTCAGTGATGCAATTTACAGTGTGCACCAGGATTTCTTTCTCAGCACATAAGTGAAGGACCTTAGTTATTATCTACTGGCCAAATTTATTAGAGAACTGGTCACAGTAATTCCAGTAAAACAAGGCTCCTGCTGTTTCCAAACGTGTCCTTGTACGCCCCGGCAAGATTGCAGATAAACGGTTAAGAGGAAAATTAAAAGAAGTTGACAGTTATGCCTACCCGGAACGAGAAATATGTCATATAATTTCCAGCTGAATGTGGGACGTTGAAGAGTTGGGTTAAAGTGAACTGAAAAAAGCCAAATTACTTTTGCAACATTCGTCAAATTTTTGTTCAATTTTTTTTTAATTTTTCAGCAAGAATGAGTCTAACAAAAGCACAAGTTCGTATGGATCGCGTGAAGATTTAAAAAAATACCGAATACCGAATTTATCGGAAGGGGAAAATATGGGGGGTTACGACGGGCGTATAGAGTGGAGACAGACTGCTTCAATGCTTAAAGCGATAAGCCGGTTTCGATCAGCGGTAGTCAGCCACAATGTAACTGCTGTCAAAGGAACCTTAGAGGGCCATCAGGATATCAGCTCAGTAAATTTTTCTCATCTTTACTTTTTTTCTGCAGTAATACAATGCAACCTAGTTGCCAAAACAACAACAATGCCGATGCTAG